ATAAAAGAACTGAACTAAACGAATTTGTGAGATAATAGCAGCATGACCAATTCTGTTAGCCTGCTCGTTAGCCAAAACCACAACATTAACGCAAACCAGTTAACGTTAGTGGTATCAGTCACAAGACAGTACTGTTAAATCAAAATATTTTATCCATCAGTCACCTTCTGGCGCCATGTGAATATGTGCAACTAATCTAATAGTTAAGTTTAGCAATGAATGCTAAATAAGTGCTATCCTTAACTGAAACACACAGCATTACAGCAGATCAGTGTTTGGCGTTACACTACGTGCGCCGTAGAAATACAATGACTAGATGCAAAGGTTCCTTATATCCCTATCGTATTTAACGAATGACTGAAGTTCGTTTTACACGTTTTAAACTTTTTTTCTACTTGAAGCACTTTGTCCTAGGTTTTGATTTTTAATAACTGACAACTTGAAAAAGGTAAAAATAAATATAGCCTAATTTGGTTATATTAGTTGCATTGTCTTTTCTAATTTACCCTTTAATCATGATATAGGCCCACTGTTTTATCTCGCTCACTTTATTCACCTTATTCCGCCCCGCCCACTTTTAATACTTTGCGCTTCCGCATTTACAGCAGGTAACTTCTGGTGACATTGTAAAGGTTTATAAAAATAACTACTTACACTATTTACACTGATTAGTTAAAGGAAAACCACAGCAAAATCTATCGACAGTCGTGGAACGCACATACAAATCAACACATTCATCCTCTACATCAGAAATTATGTCGCTGCGAAGGTTACACAGGGCTGCACAAATTCTCAAAATGTTATCAATCTTAGGGGTGCGGTTAATTGGAACTGTTTGAGAAAGGATTGTGAAGTTTTTCAGTCGGCATATGACCTGCTCAACATGGACACGTACATTGGCAATGCGCCTAGTGTTGGTGGTGTCTTCTTCAGAGAGTTGCATGCCTCTCTTGGTGAATGCTGGAATGACAAGTTTCACCTTCCTTTCATACAGGAGATCGGTAATGGTGAAGCCTCTGTCTGCCATTACTTCATCGCCTGGACGAAGGTATTCCAGGAACCCTGAATTTGCAGTTATGAATTTGTCACTGCACCTTCCTCCATACGCTGGTGAGATGAACATGATCAATCCACATGGTGCAATAGAGACCAGGTATTTGATGGTATTCTGGCCGTAGTAATGGCTGTAGGACTCGCCTCTTGAGTCAAGGTTGCGTGGCTTTTGAAGGGGTGTCTCTGAACAGTCGATCACACATGTTGTATTTGGGAATTGTTCTCTGAAACACTGAGGCATTGTTGCCTGGATTGTCTCCCTGGGAAGCCATGGTATGTAATCCCTCATGTTCTCCTCCATGATGTCAATCCAACATGAAATCACCTTGCTTACAATGGACTGAGAAACACCAAACCTTTCAGCAAGATCACCCTGCAATAAATTAAGACGCAGCTTCATCAGAGTCATCAGGAGCTGATCCCAAGTGTGTAGCTGGAAGCTGTTGGTGTATGTACTGGACCTGGTAAGGTGCTCGTCAACTGAATGAAATGCATCCAATGTCAACCCTGTGTACAGGTGCATCTCAATAAATTAGAATGTCATGGAAAAGTGTGTTCCCATATCAGATGTAGGTGGCTTCAGGTTGAGTTGTGATTTTGAACTGTAGTTGTGGTCAGAGACAGATGGATCCTCCCATTGTGTTTCTGCATCACAGTTCAGGGGCATGTGGATGTGATCACCCTCACAGTTGTTTGTCCACTGCATCACTGGTGGTCATCGATACATTTGTTGAAATAATATTAAACATTTTTACATTAATACTTAAAATACATCATGAGAATTAATATATAATGGGACCCATACTTAGAACAGTGTGTGTGTGTTTGTGTGAGAGATAGATGCATTAAAAACAAAACAGTATACACGCTCTAACTGTAGTGTTAAAAACGTAGATCAATATCTAATGAGAAAAGTTAGCTAGCTGGCCTGCTATCATCTGCAATCTCTGTAACTTACAGGAATAATGTGAGCTATTGTAATGTACCATAATATCTTGTACTATCGTAAATATGAAATAAATAGGTGGGCAACAGTGTGTGTGTGAGAGAGAGATGCATTAAAAACAAAACAGTATACACGCTCTAACTGTAGTGTTAAAACGTAGATCAATATCTGAATGAGAAATGTAGCTAGCTGGCCTGCTATCATCTGTAATCTCTAACTTACAGGAATAATGTGAGCTATTGTAATGTACCATAATATCTTGTACTATCGTAAATATGAAATAAATAGGTGGGCAATGGTAATCATGCAAAATTCGTTGTACTTTGTTAACTGCTCGTTACTGATCTTAAATGTATTCACAGAACGGACTTCATAAATCTAACGTTAGGCGAACAAGCACATAGCTAGCTAAGTTAACGTTAGCTTACCTGAATCTGACAACCTTTTCAGCACCCGGCGTGACTTCTTTACCGGAACATCGTAGCCGAGCCATTTCTCGGGGTAAGGGTGTTCGTCAGTCGGCTTCCCGTCCATGAAATGGTACGAACACAAATAAGGGCGCTTGGGTGGGCGCTTCAACTTTAGCGCCTTCAGCCATTGCCTCAGGTGCTCCTCTTCTTTAGGTGGCGGGTGTAAATTGTAAAGTGCACCACAACACTCCGACCGCTTCACATTGTGTTCGTAACATCGTTGGTGCAATTGTTCTCTTCTCTTAATCCAATTGTTATGGCAGCCCCTAACTGAGCATATAATACTTGACATTTGCGTTCTGTTATCTATCTTCGGTAGGCCCCTCTCAGCCGGAAGTAAGATGACAAAACGAACGCAATGGCGGCACCATTGTTGCCATGGAAAATAAGGTGAATACTCCTAAGATTTTAACAACCCTGTACAAGTGAGAACATGTAATTGCGTGAATTTTAGGAAACATTAAATGGTAGCTATAAAATAGCCTAAATTAGCTACTTAAATTCAAGTGTAAAATAAAGCAATAAACTTACAAAAAGAGTATAGGATTTTCCTCTGGTACATGCATTTGTAATAAATAAATAAATACAATTATTATTATAAAATGAAAGTCGTGACATTTGACAGTATGGTAACCCATACTTGGAATTGGTGCTCTGTTAACCCATCCAAGAGCACACACGCACACACACACACACACACGTTTGTTTCTGTGAATTGTGGGGAATTTCCATAGACTTCTATTACTTTTATACTGCCCAAACAATATTTTCTATCCCCTAACCCTAAACCTACCCCTTACAGAAAACCTGTTTGCATTGTTACACTTTCAGATAAACATCATTTACTATTTTTAATCATTTTTTACCACAGGCCGGTCCCAACAATGTCAAACATTTCAGGTTTTACTATCCTTGTGGGGACATTTGGTCCTTACAATGTAGCATAAACAAGTACACACACACACACACACACACACACAGCAGTGATTAATGAACACACACACATACACATCAATTTGAGATGGATGAAAATGAGGCTGCATGAATACTGTATCAGAGTGCTGCAGGGATCATGTATTTTTGTGGGCCAAAACTCAGAAACAAGGTAGCATTTAAGCACTTCCAGTTCCTTTGTCCTGAATTCACTGTAATTTTTAAATGGGTTTTTGGTTAAATGCCTGAAATATGGTTTAACACAAGCTCAAGATATTTTCATATTTTATTCTACTACGTAAAATACATCAGTTTCTTTTATGCTTTAGCTTGTCTTGAAAAAATTGGGTGCTGACAAATGGCTAAATGAGGTAGTCAGGGACATTAAATGATATCAAACGTTTATAATCATGCCCTTGCAAACTATTCTAACTGAAACTTTCAGGGGAAAATGTATTTTTAAATGAAGACTGAAAGATCCGGAATCTTGACTGGTGATGATTTGAAGTCATGTGACCATGGTGTAGTTTGTTTATAGCCTAGCCTTTAACTTCATGGCGATTGAATTTAGGCTTTAAAATTACTAAAAAAGTTGTGTTCATTTGCGAAGATTGTAGGATTAATTCACTTCTGTCACAGAGCATTTTTTTGCAGCAATCCAAAAGCCAGTAGACATTTAGAAGTTTTATTGGGGGAACTGACTTCAGGATCAGCCTACAGCAGCACCATCTGGCTTACTCTCCATTCTAACAAACCCTAACTCCTCTGTGCCAGCTGAACTATGGGGTGAGGCAACACATGCTGCTGTGACTTAAGCTGAAGATTAGATCAAATTTTGACCAATTTATGCAGAAATCTTGGTAAATCCACTGTGTATTCTGACATCCCATGCTTAAATTTAGACAAACCATTGTTGTCTTATCTGCATGTTTGCAGCTTTATAGAATTAAAATATAACCTTGTATATAACATTGTGTGTGTACACTTCTGTACGTATGCAGCACAATCCTGCTGATTTTAATGTGATCTTCACACAGTTAAAAAACACTGACAAAGACTTGGTGGTACAGTTTGCTGTTACTCTCTTCTCAATGTGAATCAGTTCTTTAATGCAAAAAAGCAGGAAAACTCTCACAATATGTAGCCTACATAAAACACAATAAAGAGGTATCCATACTGAACCTGAATTATTAGACTACCAAATCTGAATTAAAGGAGAGGGACACAAACGTTTCCTAATATCTTGCATATGCCATTACCTGAGGTACCAGAACTTTGAGATCCAGAACCATCCTAATAGGCTAATAATGTCTATATAATGCACATATATCTGCATATATGGCCCACCTTGCATCATAGAGCTGGAATGAGACCTGCAGAGGTATCCCATTCTGTACCCATGTCAGAACCATCTGCCTGTCAGGTTCCCCTCTGCAAGTCTGTTTATAAAATTCAGGTCTAATAAGATTATTTTAATAGTAGGCTATTTTGAGTGTAATAAAATATTACTCTTTAACCACTGCTAATGCTGCACATGATGACAAATGAAAAGATAAATGAAAAAAATAATGATAAATGAAAAGACTCAAAATCCATCCCTTGATTGAATGCTTTATTTATATACTTTTTGAAATCTTTATTGCATTGAATCATGATTGAGTTGAGGCAGGGATCTCGAGCAGGACTTCAGAAGTAACGGCTGGAGAGAGCGGACACAACTACGGACAGGAATTTCTGCCAGGTGGCGGGGCTGAACGCGGATCCAAATGCAGTCGCAACGACGATGGTGAGACAATCGGCCAACAGCTGTGTGAATCAAGAAAACGTGCATTTGTTAGGTAACAACCGTCTGTCTAACTGAGGTGCTGCGATATCCTTATTAATAAGCTCAAACTTGGAAAATAAAGAAGTAGCATTTACCCTGAAGTTGTCTGGATCAACGTTGAGTTTGTCGCAGTACAGCTGGCTGAGCTCAGAGTAAGTGCCTTTGATGCCATCCAAGTTCTTCACAGCTTTTTCCAACGCATTTAGCACAGTTTTCCCATGGTTTGACACCTTGGGATTGCCCAGGATTGCAGCCGCACTGGATAGGTTTCCAAAGGAACCGAAATACCTCTGAGTCCAGGGATATACAATCAGCACCCTGCCATGAGAAACAATGAAAATACATAAATCCAATGTCTGTTCAAAATGCACCACTGAATGAACAACATGTTGTGTATATCATCATTTACACACTGTTAAATTACCTTGCCAGAGCCTGGGGTCCGATTTCACCGACGTTAATTTTGCCCCAGACACTCGCAATAGTATTGCGCTCGGAATCTGACCACTCCACCATTGTGATTATCTCTTTACTTTTTCAACAAGTGTGAATGCTGCTGAACATAGATAGATGCGCGCGGAGTTTTTATTTATACTTGCGTTCTCCGCCCCACATCAGCCGCTAAGACTGATTGGCTATGTGTGGTACCTAGTTGGATCCGATCCTAGTTAATGTTACATTTTGATTAGAAACTGCGAAGTTTGATTTGTCAGAAATATATTTCAAACATCATCAAATATGTGTGGATCTATCAATCAACAAAATCACGATCTTTATGTGTATTGTGCTTGTCTAATCAAGGCTGTACGTGATTTGTCTAAATAAAAACTTTATTTACACTATAGTTATTAGCCTACTCAAAACCAATAGGCAGATGAGAGTCATATTAACAAAATGAATGGCAAATAATCAAAGTATTCGAATTAATATTGTAATATTTGGACACATTAATCAGTGGCAAACAGCTGAAAAGCTCAGGTGTGGTAGGCTATATGCATTTAACATCGAATTAACCAAAACGACCCATCTAATACCTAATTTAATTTTTTTTTTGCCTATTTTAACGAGTTCCAGAGCTTTTTCCTTTATCTGGACACCCAGACCCGCTCCTCCCGTTTCAAAATGTTCTTAATTTGGTAAACTTTGATAACCGTGGATGTCCTGTTCTTTTTTAATTTGTCCCACCCTTTAGGTGGCATGTAATGTCCCCAAATGACCCCAAAGCATCTCATACATGCAAAGACAGTCGACTGAATATAAATTGCATCTTAGTGGAATAATTAAAACAAAACAAATAAAAAAAGGCCAATATTATTTTTTTATTTCAGACAAAAAAAATTTAGTAGCCTACATTCAGACACATTCAATACATTATTTCCTTTTTTCTACTCAGTGAAAACAACGTAATTGTTTATTGTGGATTATTATATTCGATACTCTATTTCTGCAATTGTTTTAGTGTATTGATGATAGAAAATAGACAACTGGATTTCTAGGCACTTTCTGTTTTTTTTTTAAATAAATAACATACATAAATATAAAAAATTAAATAAATATAGCCATTCAGTATTTTTGATAAAATACTGAATGATGAAATTAATTGACAAAAAATAGTCTGAAGCCTAAATTTTGGCTGAAGTCTGAGAGGTGGAGCTGGTGAGTTGTTGGGTGTGGCAGCACTGCGCGTTATAAAAGACCCCTTATCCTACACCTAAAACTCTGCTCTTGTAATAACAAGGTAGAAAAGATCGGAAAATGAGTTTGACAGCTAAGGATAAAGATGTGGTCAAGGCCTTCTGGGGTAAAATCTCTAGTAAGGCCGACGCCATAGGCCAAGAAGCTCTGGGAAGGTAAGAGCTCCACATTTAAATTCATTTTTTATTTCAAAAACACCTAAAAATCTGGCAAAAACTATGTGCACTAAACGGATTCTTCTGCTTCCCGCAGAATGCTTACTGTCTACCCTCAGACTAAAATATATTTTGCTCATTGGCCTGATTGTTCTCTCGGCTCTGCCCAAGTGAAGAAACATGGAAAAAAATATGATGGCAGCTATCACTGATGCTGTGGTCAAAATGGATGATCTTATTGGTGGACTGAGCTCCTTGAGTAATCTCCATGCCAAGGTTCACCTAGATCCAGTAAACTTCAAGGTAAGATACTTGCTAATGTGCTGTTTGTGCAATGTTTCAATTAATTTACTTGAGTAGGCCTACTTTTAAGGTGTTAACCTAATGTGACACACCTAAATCATGGTACACTCTTAAAAATAAAGGTGCTTCAAAAGGTTCTTCAAGCGATGCCATAGAAGAACCATTTTTGGTTCCACAAAGAACCATTCAGTCAAAGGTTCTTTAAAGAACCACCTCTTTCGTACCTTTTTGTAATCTGAAGAACCTTCTTTCGCCACAAAGAACCTTTTGTGAAACAGAAAGGTTCTTCAGATGTTAAAGGTTCTTTATGGAACCATTTAGACAAAAAGGTTCTTCTATGGCATCGTGAAGCTCCTTTATTTTTAAGAGTGATGGAGCTTTACTGAGTTAAATGTGAGATATCAAAAATATGAAATAGAATGTGAACTATTAATTCATAGTGCATTAACTGTTCATTTACTACTTTTTGGGTTATTTTTTTCAGATTCTGTCCCATAACATCCTCGTGACTCTTGCAGTTCATTTCCCCGCTGACTTCACCGCAGAAGTGCACGTGGCCGTGGACAAGTTCCTTGCGGCTCTGTCTGCAGCCCTCGCTGATAAATACAGATAAACTCATCATCCCGGGGCTTCTCGTGCATCTGCAAACAGAGGTACTTTAAATGATAAAGCTAAAATATCAGATGCAGTTAATAAAATCTATAACAATCAAAAAGGTTTCTTCTTCGTGTTTTTCCGGTCGATATGAACCAAATCAGTAGGCTATATAGGGACAAACAGGCACTTTTCATTGTTCATTGGACATTAAACCACGAGTCTTTATATTTTTCATTTTATTATGGCTTCTCGGTGGTAATCTGTTAGCCTGTACTCTTATTTAATGTTGTAGCACCTTGATGACCTGTCAGTAATCGATGTCATTTAATCTCTTTTAAACAACATTGTTTAGTTACAACTCAAAAATTATATATATTTTTTTCTAATGCTGGGTAGTTTTTCTGTTACCCAGCCGTTGGGTTAGTGGCTGGGTCAGCTATACACTCCGCCCCTCCCTCCGACGAAACAACACGTTCTCACTCCAACTCGTCACATACTGACGCTTAGTCTCACCTCAGCGGCCCGTGCGCTAGCGCACCATATATTAGCCTCGCTGTTGTTGGATACACAATCTGTAAATGACTTGCTGACTTGCACGAAAACCAGCAACGTATTGGACCAGGAAATAACGTCTATATATATATATATATATATATATATATATAAAATATAAATTTTTATATAAAGTATATTATATATTATTATGTAAAGTATAATATTATATTATATTATATTATATTATATTATATTATATCAAATCATATCCGAGTTGTCTGGAACGCAGCATTAGGTTACCATTTCAATAAATGAGCGTGTACTACAATTACGAACCATTCTAAGGCGACATTTCAGCACTTGACAAACGGATAGCGACTCCTAAGTAGCACTTAAAGCACGGCTACGTGTGATTGTGTTAAGTGCATTTTTGGGGAACGCACGTGAAACAATAACGAACGATCGTAAAATGACTCGTAGAAAACGCTCTTAAGCTCTAAGATCAAC